TTATTGATTGGAAGCATAAAATGCCATTGCCAGCAAGTGATGTTAGTAACAAAAACTATACATGTATTAAATAATGCCCATGGGAGGAGCCCTTGGTCGACTGGTTATTTCATTGTCTTCAAACCACTTGCCCCTCAACGCTCAGGGTTCAAACGAAGGGTCTTCATCCACCAGTAAGCTTGAACGTCGCCATATGACCTATACTGTGCCAGTGTGACGTAAAACCCAAACAAGGTTAGCTTTTAAAAAAGCTAGTAGCGACTCGCTTCGTAATTTCTTTCCAGGGGCGTGTTTAAATGTAAAAATGACAGTTCTGTTAGCTGAAAAGACTTCAGCGAACATCAAAATAAAAGTGACATATAAAGTTAAGGAAGCCAGTTCTCTCAGTTTAACAAAGAGGAATATGAGTATATATGAAGATGTAAACAGATAGAATGAAGTCCCTATGTCTATGCACATTTACTATATGGCCTGTTGACCTTGACCAGAAAAAAATAGATAAGTAGAATTCATAAAAATGTCTCTTTATACGAAGTTAAGTTGTAATATGTTATTTAGTATTGGAATAAGTGACAGATACAAGTCCTAAAGTGAACACAAGTTGTCTATCAATTCAGCCAGAAAAGCCGGGATCCTATTAAAAAAATAGGATCCCGGAAATTGACCAGTTCAAGAATATTGTTTTCAGAAAAGCCGGGATCATTTTAAAAAATTAAGAGATCCAAGAAATTGGACAGTTCAAGAATATTGTTTTCAGAAAAGCTGGGATCGTAGATAGGGATCCCGGGATTTGACCAATTCAAGAATATAGTCTTTTATTTTTCCAATTAATTAGGCATATAATTATAAGTATTGTGATTTTGTTAATAAATAGCTCTAAATATATCTATATCCTAAGTTAAATCAATTTAACTTTCATTACATACAATAAAAAAATTAACGTTTAATGGCCTTTCATTACGACAATAATCAACACAAATATAGTTAATTAGTTTTTTCCCTTATTATCTTATACGATCCCGGATCCCGGGCGTCCCGGATCCCGGCCAGTAAATACATACACTAAATACTGGAAAGGATAAAATGACCGGAAAAAAGGAAAAAGAAAAAAATGCACAGAACCAGATGTCGTTTATGTTAATTAACCAAACGAAAACTTATTACAGAGTAAACAGGACTGGTGAAATCGCTAAATCAAAAGTCAGTGTAAATATGATTTACTGAAAAGAATCCATGAAAACAAACATTTTAATCATCAATATATCTTTGCGCTCAAAACAATACTTGCTGCTTTTTAAAAATGGCGTGAAAATTGAAGTTTTTTGACGCTATATAAGATCAAATTTGATTGGCTAAATAATTTAATAATTAAATAATGCGAGCCGGCACAAACAATCAATGCACAAAGGCTGAATTTTCATACTGTCATAGTTTAGTATTTACAAATAAACGGATTGTCAGTATTGTGGTCAGATTGTTTCCTTAAATTGTTACATAAAAATGGCCTTTTTTCATTAGTTTCTTGTATTCTGTAGAAAACTTTCTCTGTTTGTTCTATTTCTTAAAAAAAATCAATCCTTCGGGCTTCTTAACTTCGTGAAGACAAATATTATAGAAATTTCCTTAATAACTTTTGATGTTAGTCAGTCTACAGTATTCAAGATAATGTCATTTTTCGATCAATATTATCACTTAGGTATTCAACATGTAACGGTGAATTATCTCATGCATATTCTTAACTTTAATTTCGACATTCATATTCAAACTGACTATGATATCGCTAAAGCTTAGATAATCATTATTTCCTTAAATTAGACCCTCCAATGATTATCGTCAACTTTTATTTCAGACAAAAGACATGTTGAAATGCCGGGAAACAAAAAAGATGTTGTCAAAATTTTGACATATTCCATCCAATGTGTTTAAACATGCAAAATAAAAATATTGAACGACTAAATTTTTTTATTGACAACCCTTTTTAAACTTCCTACTTCAAACTTTATTTTGATATATCTGGTATACTTAAAACAAAAATGCTGCGTTGATTATATTTATTTCAGATAAAATACAAGCAGATATAAAAAGAAACAAGTTACAAAACAAGATATCTTATATATCACCTAGGAAAATACAAACAATCTAATGGACACAATTAACATCTGCATGGACAGCTTGTGAGATTGAACTCTATTTTATTTTTGAATTCATACCTCTAAGAATAACTGTTACTAAGTATATATTCAGATGATACAAATAAGTGTATCAAAAAAGGAACTCTAACATTTTTTGGTAAAAAAATGCAATAAAATAAAGAAAATACATAAAAAATAATTATTTATATGTTAAATGTTTAAAATTAGAAGCATTTTGCAAATTATTCATATTGTGACAGAGTGAAAAAACGTGCAGACTGTCGGGAACTCGAACCCGGGACCCTCAGAATACCGATCCACGGGTCTACCGTCTGAGTTATTCGGCCGCTAATAGATCTTCTTCCATATATACTAAACAGTTCTAAACCATGACAATATTAAAGATCATGTAACGCATTTTTATAAAGTTTTATAGCACAGATATGATGTTCAAATGAGGCTTTATCAATATTGTAAGTTCCAAAAAGATATTACGAGTATATATTTCATGTAAATAAAGGAAGATAATTAAAAATGTGTTTTCTATGAAGTCAAAGCCAAATATTCCAATAACAAATGAATGTGTATACTAAAATGATTACATATAATGCTTTTAAACATTTGCAGTACATATTTAACATATTCTTGGATGTTTGGAAATGTTTTAGAAGCATACTTATAAACATATTTCACGTATGTAATGTTACCACTTTATTAACAACATACAGCACCTTTAATATAAAAGTCTTTGTTCTAAGAAATATGGCTTAGTTTTTGAACATTTTTCAAAAGAAATATTTCAAGCAACCTGAAATGACCATGGTTTAAAGATTTTTTCCCTCTAAATGAGAAGACGATTATGCATACAATGACAATTTCATTCTTGTTCAGTGTAAGTAATAGTTCGAACATATCTGATTGACTTATAAGAGCCACAGGCGACTTTATGAACACATCTGCAGATTTATTTTAATTATGCTAAGGCCGATGCTAGTCGGCGTGGACGGTACTTGCATTTTTCAGTACCTCCATGAACAGGCTCAACCAAACAGAGCCTGCAACATTAACAAATTAGTCGTTTTGGGCGTTCTTTCAGGATTATGTCTCTTTTTTATTATTATAATTATAATAAGAGCATACACATAATTTGCAACACAGAAAATGTATTAACATGTAAGCATGCAGAATATAATAATAATTTGAGGCAAAATAAAGCAATCTTTGAAAATGTACATGTAATTCTTTTCCCATGCTTAAATATGCAGCGCATATTGCATTTGGAACAAAAGTATACCCGCCATTTTCCCCCATTCCTGTCATCAAGGTAGCAATAAAAAAGCCATACACGCCGCATTCGACGTTTATATATCACAAGATTTGTGGCACTTAACACTTAGATAAATCAGATTCGTTATTATAAATAAAATGCCAGAATATACTACCCGTATCTTAACCCTTTACCTCATATATACGCGAAACAACGCATTTTCGCCCCCTCCCCCCTCCCCCACTTTTTAGGACTGAAATAGAAAAAAATGTATGTCCTATTTGGGCCCCAAACACATGTTTTCGTTTGAGAAATGTTGCCTAAAAAGTGAGCACTTTTTCGGCGCCGCCCCTATCCAAAAGATACATCAGGGGGTTGCCAGAAGGGGGATGTGCCCCCTTCTGTTTGGGGGGTTTGAAGGGGGTCGGAGTCCCCCTCATCGCCAAGAAAATTTTGGACTTGTGAGAGGCTTAAAATGACCCCAGGTCGATCATAAGGTAACGTGTAACCAACGCTAAATAGCCTTTTACTCTATCTCAATCCCTTGAGAAGTTGCAGCACTTTGAAATAAATTTTGATGGAAAAAATCGAGGCAAAATAGTGATTTTTAGCAATTTTGAGATGTCCCCTCATTGCCATGGTAACAGGAAATTTAAGACTGAGCATGTCGTTACAAAGGCAATGGTCCAGTCAACATGTGTGCCAAGTTTGATTAGTATTAAAGCATTTTCATAGTTTCATAGCAGTTTGAACTTGTAAGAGGAGGCTTTTCAGTGAAAATGGCCATTTTTCACAATATGCTCAAGGGGAAAGGGTTAACAGAAATCGGATATTCTTTAGATACAAATCAAAATAACTCACACTTAACCAATAATATCGGCTGGAAAATATGATATAAAGCTTTTCCGCTGGCTAAGAATAATATGAATACTGGCTCATACATTTGTATAAAAAAAGAAGAAGAAAAAACACAAAAAGGGGGCCATCGTTGTGAGGTAATAAGTATAATACATTTCATAGGGAAATATCTTAATGAAATATCAGCGTCTTTCAATATCGAATCAATAATATACACGTATTCCTTAAACAAATCTTAATAAAGTTTGCAATATCAATAACGTGAAGGAAAGAATACTATTATAATAATATCTCAATAATCATTTAGCATATGGTAAACACATATTCAGTTTTGTAATATGAGACAAACATGAAAATGATATCTAGCAAAGCACTCTTTGGAAAACAACTATACTTCTAATTTAATATATTACCACGATGCGCACTTCGTTATACCTGTGACTGAATGTCATATTTTTTTACACAAACACAGGTATAATGAATGTGTTGTTGCATACTTAACTCATTGTATTGTTACATCCATATCATTATTTCAAATGATCATAATGCCTAGACAGCACCGTTTGAAAAGATATATTCTGATTAAATAATGTTCAATTCGGCACGATATGGCCAGTTATGTGTTGACGTGCCGTAAAAATCCAAACAAACAAACAAACAAATAATGTTCAAACTAATTTTTACACCCTGTTACGAAACAAGTATTGACACAAACACGTGCAAACTATATTGTATGGTCCATTTTATAACAAAAATCACAACACATGTTAGAAATGAATTATCATATAGTCAACTTTCTTTGCAGCATTTCAAAGGTTTTGGTAAACATCTGTTCGCTTGATGTGATCCAGAATTAGATCATTACAATACTTGTATTGTTCCTACAATGACAATGAATGGAAACTGTGATAACAAATTGTAAAAACAATAAATAGTCAGACATGTACCAAAAAACATCTGTAGATAAAATCTATTTGCATTTTGCCAAACAAATAATAATTATAATGAAATGTACGTCTGATAGTCTAAATTCTTCATATAAAGGTTGAATAATAATTTATTTATTGACACCTCTACTCACAATTGATAAAAATACGAATAATTAACTTATCCACATATTTAATAATTTCATAAATTATAATAAGTGAACCAAGCAATACTCTTACATAGTTGTTTATGAGATGCCTTTGTCTTTTCTTCATCATTTTAACACACTCTACAATGTTGACATGGCCTCCCTCATATTTCATCCTTTGAAGCTCGTTCAGAAGCACACAAACTATACCAGACCTCGTACAACCATCACTGAATTATACAAGTTAATTTAAAATAAATTGTATTCAATAATTTAAACCTATAAATATTAATAATGATAATGATCAAATCAACGCATAGACGCGAACGACGGTGCCATTTTTATACGCATAAGTGGGATAAAATAAGCCCGAAATCTAGTATTTGCAGATTTATAATACACACATGCCAAGTTAAGAAACAATAAGTCAAAATAGGTAACGGAAATAGCATTGATAATATGCAAAATAATATAAATATTTTAACCATGCATGATACGTTTTTTTCCGAATATACCTAACACGACTCTACAGGTACAGGAAATAAAACAGTAGGGGCAAGTACATACCAAAAGGGGAGAATGTTAAAAGAAAATAGCTTAAAGATCGAAACGGAAGTTACTGGCGCACAGCACATATACTGAATTGTGATTAAAGCGTGTAATCTCAATGTATATATATATAAGGCCATAAATCATGAACATAATCCGGTTTCTTTAATTATTGGAAATCAAACAAATATTTGCTAGTTTAAATGCTATGTCATTAAATCGTAACATTTTACTTAAGCAGGATGTCTGAAATTGTGAATCTGGGAGTGTATTAATGAGATAAGTATCAAGAAAAGGTGACTTTAGAGAGATATAGAGCATACACATAATAACAACCTCAGCTCTTTACGAATTACATTGATCTGAAAAGTATGACCCATGGTTCTTAAACTTCAATGAAACAATAGTTTAGCTAAAGTATAATCAATATAATTAATACTAGTAATTTATTTTACTCGAAATATCTTTTCGGGATGAAAGTGCTGGTTCTAAAGATTAAGCATAAATATCTGACTTGACCTTGATGTTTGGCACCTGTTCATCACCTGGCTCTTTGTTAGAATAAGACAAAAAATTAACCAAAAATTTCAACAACAATGATAAGGTTGTTCAAAAGATAGAACAGAACTTAAACTGCTAAAAGACAGATTTATGCATGCTTTATCAATACCAAAATGGAAATAAAGCATAATTATGTGATATTTGTTAACACAGGGTCACGAACTTTTCTTTTGTTGCGGAATGAATCTAATCTATTGTTTGATTCTACTCCTATGGCAACAACATTTAATATATCTGATCATACGAACGACAAGGGGTATAAAAATACGACGATTTGAGTGTATATAAAAGTTCCGTATACATGTTAACTATAATAATTGTACTGTAAAACTCTGTATACATTATATTATTTATTCAATATCAACTCTCTGTATGATCTTCGCAAATACAACATACTCTGATCAAAGAAAATCCGTATCATGTATCTTAAAGGTTATGATATGGAGTAACGTTAATTGTTTATATACTAACGGTAAGAGTAATTATATAATAAAATCGACCTAACCAGTGCTTTGATCTTGTATTTGCCTCGAATAGAAAGAAATTGACAGATTAGGCACTTACGTTGTAGCATATTAATGTAAAATGGCAATGGCACAACACTAATCATATACCTGCAATGTACGAGTACAGGCTGCGACTCAGTTAAATGCGGCTGCCATTTTAACACGGCTTCTGTCATGTCCAGGAAAGAGGTTGTGTCATCTGGAGCCGGTACTCCCTCTTTCCAAGCTGTATATTCAAACTGCTTCATTGTTGTTAAGTGATAATCCTCCTGTCCAGATAGAAACTATTTATATCGAACGTTTACGGTGTGTGAGAACACTATTATTTATCTACTTTCATTCGACTGTTTTAGTATGGAATTTTGGGCATCAATGTAAGAAATATTACATATTATGTAATTTAATCTTGCTGTGTTGCAAAATGTCACTTGACAGTAAGAACAACAGTCCTTTTAAATACATTTTCAAATATTTGCCGAAACAAGATAGACTTTGACTTTGAATGATTGTTTATAATATTAGCACAGCTCGGGTTAAGACCTACAATAATACAATCACGACGTTACAAGGCTGAACTATATATTACAAAACACCAGAGCAGTTTAGCATGCAATATTATATGATTTTGTTTGAAAACCTTTATCATTTTACATTTTGTAAGAGGTTCGATGAAAAAGAACTTAAAGTTGTGGAACTACATTCAGTTGGAATGTTATTTACTTACGTCATTTAGTTTAATGTCGTCAGAACTAACAGCATACGACATATCATCGTTTCTATATAAACATCGTGCCGATACAGAGTATCAAGGTACTCGAAGGTGAAAATATTAGGAAGAAATTTAAGATATAACTTCCCAATCTTATACCACGGCAGCGCTATACTTTCAACAAATTAAAACCAACATAAATAACAATAACTGTTGTATGTGTGCGTTGGTATTTGTATTGGTGGAAAAATGTAATCATTTATTACCTCCCTTTCACTTTCCTTGAAGGTAAATGATCTCTGTGTATAACCCTTTCTTATTTTCTCTTCTATCTTGTTGACACTAAATCGGGCTCCGCCTTTTGAACTTGAACCTAGTTCACAGCTTGACTGCGGTGTAAGAAAACGTATTATTCAATACTGAGCCTAAGTGTGACACAAATATTCCTTTGTGGAAATGTACCACAAAAGTATATTAAAAATGCACCAACTGTCATATTTTCTATTGTTCAAATAACTGTTTATGTGTAACAAAAACTGTATGTTTTCAAAGATGTAAAAGACAGTTTTAATATTGTTGATGGCCATCGCTACAAAAAAATGCGGTTGTTTTTATGTTCATAATACCAATTGTTATCAAAGGTTAATCAACCCAAGTAATTACTCATTTAAAACGTTATTTTTGTTAACATTGTAAAGCATCAACAATAAACCTGATAGCATGATGACGACTGGTCTGTAAGCATTATAACTGTCTTGATATTGTTGTCGTCAACGAGAGACCAAAACTCTTCCATTGTATCTTTACCAGGTGACATTGACACAAGAAATGTACTCTTTCCCTTGTAGTTCTAAAATGAAGAAATAGGTATTTAAATGAAAATCACATACACGTTTAAAGGATCTTTACTTTAACTTCAACGTATACCTTATCAAACGGAAACTTATGTTCGAGTTATATGACAAAGTTGATGGTAAAGAAAGTTTACTTACAGGAATAAACATGGCACCCAACTGGTCAACAAAGTTTGACCCTCTTGTCTTTATCTTTGGTTTGTATGCATCGCCTTAACAACAGAAACAAAAGTATAAATATTATTTGATGACAAAAATGCAACAAATTTATATAATTCCTAAACTAGAGGCTGATAATGTTGTTAAACTTCCTGGATAACAGTACAACATCTAATGATCTAAGTTCACTATTTTTAGTATTTTATTTAAAATGCATAATACTTGAAACATACAAACTTGTACATAATTGCCATTAAATGCTATATTTGTGAAGAAGAAAGATTAATGGTTATACTCTCTGATAATAGAGTCTCAACATTTGAATATTCAGGACTATCTGCAACGCCTGAGGCCGGGTTCTCAATACTCTTTTCAATGAGCTGAAATTAAATTTTGAACGTCATCAGTATACGTAAAATATGAAAAGAAAAATCGGGACTAGGACTATCCCAAAGAACAACAAATGCTAGAAATTAAATCAATTCGTGACATAGTAAGCAAGACTTTAAACAATTTACAACTTACAGTTAATAGAATATTAACAAAAGCAGCAGTATGCAAACAATGTTCATGAAAGACGTGAATATTGTAAACAAATGCAATAAAGTGAAAAATATTGTTTCTTAAGTAATCAAAGCATTAAAAAATAAAACAAGTCATGATTCATAACAACAATATGCAAGTTTTATCAAGATAAAAATATAAGATAAGTAGTACCTCAAATTGTATCTGTAATCGTGTCCGTGCGTCACCCTTGTCTTTGTGTATCATAAATTCCAGAACATCTCTAAACTGTTTTGTCCAAATAAAGTGGGTACCAAAATACATGGCGTCTGCAACTGCTTCATGTAGATAAATGTATTGCTCCTAAAGAAGATTTAAAAGATCATATTTTTTGTAAATTTCAAACGTGAAGATAAACAAAATGTAAATATGTAATCTGTTGCGATACTTATCTTTTATCATTAAAGATATCATTTAATATCAATAACAATGTAATTTGCGCTTGAAATTTAAGTAGGTTATCGAGTTCATAAATGTAAATAAATTTGAGCTTTATACATGTAATTTAATGTCATGCATTTAACAGTTTTGAATAAAGTTTAGAATATAGGTAGTAAAAAAATATTAAATTATCAATAAATTGATATTATATTTTTATCGTTGCTAAGATTATCATTTTAATTAATAAGGAATATGTGATTGGCATCCAATTGAAAACAAAGATGGCATATTCAAAAATTACAAATATGTATTTAATTCGTAATGTAGGCTTACATTTGAGTAGCATTATAAACTATTGATTTTGGTATAATATTTATGCAATATACCTTTGTCTGGACCATATTAACTCGTTGTGATCTCAGCGTCTGTACAATCTGTAACGGTCTCATGCAACCTTCCTGTCGAGCTTGATTCACCATATTGTCAAGACCTATAAATGTTCCCGTCCTGCCAACGCCGGCGCTGGAGAAATTTGTTATTCATAAACATTTGCTACAGTCATAAAGTACTTGAGGAAAAAAAAAGATGTTCATAGCATTGATAACAAAGTCGACATCACCTTTAACAATTAACATGCTCAACATATGCACTTAATCATAGCACTTGTCTTATAATGAATAAAATTAAGTAAGATATTATTGACTTCCTTTAAAAAAACGTTTCCATTTAATTACCTGCAGTGTACGACTATTGGTCCTGCATCTGATACATTGTTCGTATCAACAACTCTCCAAAAATTGACAAGGCACCAAGTGCTATCTGGAACATCTTTATCTGGCCATGACTTGAAATGGAATTGCCGAATTCTACGTGACGCTTTTCCATTCTGAAATTACAACAGTATCCGGTGTACTTTTGGTATTTTGTACTTGATTTTATTAACGAGCATTACTAGTTTTGAACATGAATACTATAGTATCATAACGACTTTTGTTTCTTATAATTATGAAACCTTTATACATATATAAATGAAGACATTATGTTACGAATCTTACTTTTCCGACCCAAAACACACGTATGTTGTAGTCAAGGAACTTTTGTGTTTCTTGTAGCTTTATAACTATGTCACCAAAAGTACACTCAGTTTCCCCTTCCTCTTCTTTAGGCCAGTATTGCAAACACTTTGTCTATAATGTGAATGTTTGATTTGGTAAATATTTTATGCTTAATGTTCAAAACACTTTATCTATTTAATAAAGAACTTTTCTATTTTAAAGAAAATATTTGGAAATGGTTTAAAGACCAATTGAATGAAAAAGAAAATGTGTTGATGACTATTATTATGATGAATTTACTACAGTGTCATTACATAAATGATATTATGAACAAAGTATGGTGCACATAATTTACGTATATTTATACTGTAAAATAGTGAAAAACAGAATCCCTAAAGAAAGCCCAACACGACAAAATTGTAAAATGTTGCAGGCTCGGTTTGATCGAGCCTGTTTGATTGTAAAAACGTCTTTAATTTCTTATTAAATTTACAAAGTGGACCAATCTTGGTAAAAACAATTCTACCGTGCCCATTTCAATCAGATTCGTGAGCATAACTATTTTATCTGATTTAAGTTGCCAAACCATCTCCCAGAAATCGTCTACCATATTCTTGGTGGGACCTGGTTAATAAACACTAAAATACTATATCAAGTACACTAATAAGCTTTTTACCTATCAATGTACTTGAATTTCAATATTATTACGTTTTTTTTTTATAAAATATTTCATTTATACAACTACGAATATAGAGAAAATCACAGATAATGTTCACTAACGCATAATGCGCATATCAGCACAAGATTATGATATTTAAAAAAACAATGTGACATTAATATTCTGATAAAATTAAAATGGATAAAATATTAACATTTCTAAACGACAATTACCTTGTGACGCTACAAACTTTTTAACTTTCTCATAACCCTGCAATTAAGCATAATGATTCATACAAACTTATATTCTTCGGTACAAATTTTTAAAATATTGAAACGATATATCTTTTGCAAGAACCTTTCCGGTAATTTTTTCTTATATCATTATGCTAAACGTATATATTGAAAGTGAAAACCAGCCTCAGGATCAATATCAAGAAAAGATCATTTTGCAAAAATACAATGTATATGCACTCATTAATATGTAATTACTTGCACTAGGATTTTAACTGGCATTGCGTGTAATTCAGTTAGTGTTTTGTGTTATTTTACTTTGTAACATTCTTGTAAAAAATATATACAATTTAAAGAATATTATTTAGAAATAAGTTGTTTAGTAAACATTTACACACCCGTGCGCGCACACACGCACATAAAAAAAGAAATAAACAGAAACAACCCTATCAGTGAATGCTTTACTGCTTGTGTTGACGAGATTTCAATAATGAAATAATCTAACGTCTTTGGTTTCTTTCACATCTACCTTTTACTTTCATACAGACATTAATAGATATTCAATATGTTTATATATTTCTGGTGGGAGGAGGCGGGGAGAAGGATGCTACGTAAGTTGTCCTATTTTACATATAAAATGTATAAAATACCCATTTTTTTCCTCAGAGTTGAAACGCAGAAAGGATAAAAAATAACAGCGTATCTTGTTCGCATAATGATAAACTTCTTACAGTCTTTATGCTATAGTCTAGGAAGGGTTTTTGTTATTTGGTAAGTATACATTATCCACACGTAAACAAATTAATTTAGGTTTTTAAAGTTAAAGTAGCCAAAAACTTACGTCTATGTAACAGGCATTGATATAATCTGTAGGTTTATCTTCAATTGAGTCACTTTTACGATCCAGAATGACTCGGGTATGGTCATCTAAAAATCATGAATATTTAGGATAAAGGCAGAACAAACGACATCAATCTTATTTCGATAAAAGAATATAAAAAAAAAAACACACAAGAAAAACACTTTACCTGTGCTGACACGGTAAGATAGAGCTTCATTGTAACAATATTTTAGATCGATATTTTCATAAAAAATAATATTATGAAGGCGTATAACTTACAAGCGTACATTTCTTTGTACCGGTTTTTGCCCCGGTTGGAAATATGGTCGGCAGATGCAAATGCATGAACAAGGCCTTGTGGTAAAGCCTGTAATACAAATACAATTTATCATTATGATTACAAGTCAATATACTATAGACATAAAGATTATACTGTTTCCATTAAACGTCTTTCAAAATTCTTGAGTATTTTACAAGGTTAAACAATGTTTATAGATATATTGAACACTGTATCAAGACTAATGCCTGCATTTACATAACGTGTACAAAATCACAGATCCTCTTGAAATTGAGGACATATATCAATAGTTAAAACAAAACTGATGTTGTTTTTTGTTGTGAAAACCAAATATATTATATACCTTGTTCTGTTCATATGGCTGTTCTACATAATAAATTTGTATATGTTTGTTTTCTAAATAACAAATCATTAGTTAGAACAAAATTTGAGATGATAGTTCGCGTAAGTAGTAAGATATAATAGTAGACATACGCCAAGACGATTGTTTCTTTCAATAACAACACGGAAACATTTTAGCATACCTTGAACTCTGATATCAGCTGTTCACAAGTGTTTTCCATTTTTGTGTGTATGTAGTCCCATAACTCGTGAATCCTTATTCCCATAAACTGTTCACTAAAACTGTAATATTCACTAGCATCTGTCGCAGGCATACTTGTGTGTTGCTCCTCTGAAATTTATGGGAAGACAATACAATTTTTTAAATAACAATAATTTCTCTTGCAAATAAAGATGATGTTTAACATTAGAATTAGTATAGTAAAGCAATACCTTCATATGATCTGTTGACATGTGCATGTTGGCGGGCTCTTCGTTGGACGTTTGTTTTCTCCTCAAGCGCCTTATCAAGATGCGAAAATTTGGTTTCTTTTGTCGAATTCTTCTTTGCTCTAAAATGGCATTTACATTGAACATAATAATGCATGTATATCCTGTGTCTAACGTGAAATTAGGATCGACGATGGCATCTTTATTTTTCCTATTTTTTTTCTATTCTAGTATTGTTAACATATTAATAATACACATAGTAAAACAGATATAACAGTGCATTTATAAACAAATAATATTTTCGAACATTTGACAAACGATGCCTCATAACATGAATTAGAATGGGTGGAATTTTTTGATACTAAAATGACGATTCAGAAATCAGAATACTTACAAACGCATTCTTCTAAACAAAAGGAGTCCTATAACTACACATAGAATGACCACCACGCCTGCCGCTGCTGCTCCCCCTGCTACGGCCGCTGATGAGTCATTTGATTGTTTGGCGTTTTCCTGGGCGCTTTCCGAAGATGCTATTTTAATGCATAATAGTTTAACTAAATATCTAAGTACGGTTTTAATATACTGGTAAAAATTAAATTAGCAAAAATTAAGTAAATCTAAAATATCAATTTTATGACTAAATCGAAAGTTGTATAAAAATTATTTTCTCTTTTAAAATGATCACATGAAAGACAGTGTGTGCTGTAACTGAAAAGAAGTATTAATTGCTACTTTCTTTCTAACACATAAGCTTCAAATTACTATGAAATTGCCTTATCCTGTCTAAAATTAATATAATATGACTACAACTGTCTTTGATTAACGGACTATGAAATACTTAGGTATACTGAAAATATTATCATTACACATGAAACATTACAGATCGGATTTTGTTGGATGAACACTTTGCAGTAACTTCTCAAAATCGTCTAAATAGCTACATAAATAATACTTTATACATGCAGATAGCAGACAATTTCTAAATTTGATATTAGATTGTAAAGAGGTTTATATGCATGAAACTATAAGAATATGCAGGCTAGTATCTGAGCAACTACATGTTGATTTACACCTGGTCTTAATTACGTACATTTATTCAATTATTAAAGTGAAATAAGATATATTCCTTAAGCCACTGGACACTCAACACATTTGCATGGAAATTTGGTCAATACATAACAAGAAAAGCATTGATGCAAAGCATCAAAGGGCGTCCAAGCAAGAAATGCAGCAAGTGAAGATGAACTAGTACACATATGATGACAAGATATTCTTATAAACTACCAGAAATGTATACCACTTATGAATGAGCGGACGAAAGACATTGTTCATTATTGATTGGCATGCTAGAGATTAGAATATTACTTGTTATTTCTTTATGATCGTGGTTATTAATAGCAACGGATATACATGTATGCAATCATTTATAATCCATATGTGTAACGCATGATCAACACGTACCACACATTTGTCCCTTATTATGTACATGTTATCGCTATTAGCGAAGACCCCCTTAAGGTATCTGTTCACACTTTAAGTTAGTAAAAATATGACACTGGTTATATTACCATGTTGATCATGTTGAGCATAATTGTTTATTATACAATAATTGTAATATCTATTAATTTTAATTTAAAAAAAATACAAATTTTATGAATATTGTTTTCTTTTATTCTTTTTTGTGTTTTATGTGCTATTTTAATACTGAGTTTTTACTACTCTTTTTTATTAAAATTGTAAAATAAATTTTAAGAATTCAATTGTCATATTGACCGACGATTATAAGTAAAAGCGTAACTGGAAAAAGTCAGTAAATTATGGTTTATCTTTCAATATATAATATTGTTTATTCTTAAACCATGTACATGTACATTGTATTTTTCTTTATCATTTTTTAAATTATCGATCAATTGAATAATTCATAAAATCTAATTTGTAACTTTGAATAATTCCTCGGCATCTTTACTAAACACGGATAACAAATTGAATAATTAAATAAAATGTTTCAAAGTTGATAATGTCATTTTAATACCATAAAAAATGTACCTTTTTCTCAATTATTGTACATATCACGGATTTATATTACATATAAATCCGTGTACAAATTTATTGTTTTTATCTCATATAGATAAAATGAAACATGCTATTGTTGTTTTTTTTTCCAATTGTAACGATATCAAACATCTACTCCAAAATCGGGAGAGACCGGACAATAAACGTGTGGTACTATTCGCCGGTCACTAGTAAATCCTGGTCAAAATAGACCGGGAGAGACCGGCATTTACCGATAGGAGTGATAAAAAGATATATCTATAAATAGGTTTTTGGAATATTTAGGTCATCAACTGATCATTCTAGGATACATGTACAACGATAACATACCATGACATGATAACCGACTGTGTACTACAAAATGATAAATAAAAAACCCCGAAGAGCGCGATTTATTGACGGAAAAGGTTATTTCATTTGTAAATGTTTGCATTGCGAAAATTCATTGTAACATACCGTGACATTTCATTCTTATTAAATAAGAATAATCAAGCACCCTCATACCGATCGGAATTTTCGGCTTTTATTATGACCGACTAAAAGGCTCGAGAAGTTGCTGTCGCCCTTTCACAAAATCTGATCTCATTCCATAAGAGCGCCGCGCTTCGGCGCGGACGCCAATAACTGTATGAGCAAAAGTGTATCAAGCTATTTTTAACACTTGTGCCAACCATAGTCACATGATCCGGGTTTGTACTGTTGCAGAACAATGAAATTATACCACATGTACGATGGTCACATGCTATGATATGGGATTAGTACACTATAGAATTATGACTTTAATTTACAGGACGTAAAATTGCGCAGATAATCATGTCGGAACAGCTTGTTTTGAATCACCTTTTAAGATACTTGCAAACATGTTTGTATCAAAATCTGTGTACTACATATATGTCTAAGCATTAGTTTCATTTTACTGTTGGACATTGACAAAAACAAAACAACACTGAAAAAAATCTAATATCTTTTAAAACTCCGATGATATTGTGAGGGAGACAAAGGTTTAGAAAACGAAAGTAATGAATACTGAATTAAAGAAGATATACACGTAAACAAATGTAAACAAATTAAGCAAATAGATATCGTGCAGATGTCATGATACTGTTAATGATGTTGTGCTTGACCTCTCGAAAGAGGTTTCCATCATAGTACAAAAAGGATGGCAAACATTTTGAATCTCAAACTGACCGTGTACATTCTGTTTCTATGGACCTTTTAAATAAAATATACATTTTTTGCGTCACATGAAAAATAAGCACGACTTAAAAGGCCTCTCCGCCACCATAAGCAGTGCTCGGTACGCTGGAGTAATATACAATAATAATAATATTAGATATTTTCAGATAGCATTTGCCTTCAGGATTAACGCATCATTACTTCATTTCTGTTCATTGGACTTAAGAAAGAATAATTAAGTTGTTTATATATATGTACCGTTACCCACTAAATTGATCATTATATTGCACATGTTTTCGTCTTACATTAAAACAAGGAAAAGCTAGTCGGATGTTTTTGCCGCTATTACTATAGTAAAGGGAAAATAAAAGGCTAACCGATGAAGTTTAGACTAAAAGCGGTTGTTTATGAATTTCATTTATGATTTTCATTCATAATTTGTCGTTATATTTAAAGGCTAAGTATATAATCCATTCCCTTTATCGCTGATAAAACCCATCTAAAGGTTAATTGTTATCCACCTGAACACTTTATAATCTCCAATACCGTAAAATCAATGGGGTATTTAGAGTATTGTATTGTATTGTATTGTACAAGTATAATCAAACTTGTCATATGTGACTTTCCATGGGACTATCCAAAAAGGTCATATATGACTTGGAGACTTTTATTCCAAGTTAATTAATAAAAATCGTCAAATTACTGTGTCAGGTCATCTTTCATTTCATGAAAATCAAGCATTATTGCTTGCACATAAGTAGCTCGGAGTCTTTATCGAAAGTGAAATATAAATTCTCTCAACTCAATAGGCACTGAATTATCGCTCCCTGTTGTTTTGACAGCTAATAGCAAAGAAACGTATGTCGTGTTAAAATCATGATGCTCAGATATCTCAATGATGAAATTTTAGTCACTGTTGCACGCAGTTAACCTTCAAAGTTTCTTTGATATCAGCTAGTTTATGCGTGACCTAGATTAACCTCAGGCCTTTAAACAATATAAATAATAACAGGATATTTTTGTGTAGAAATAAAGGTAAAAAAAATATTAAAACTTTGAATATGAATATAACTGTTGATTATTTATTTTGCAACTCAGGAAGGTGTGAAAAATGCACAATACTCGTTAATTGACTTGATCGATACAATAATGCCTCGAACGCTGTTGTTTTCTTCAATGTGTGCGAATAACGTCTTTTTCACGTGATATTGACTGTTGGAAATGTACAAAAAGTCGTTTAAGCTGTATATGTACTACGGGGCACAAAATTCAAGGTTGTAAGTCCCGACAGACAGGGAGTCGTTTAATTCAGTGACTGTACCTGTGTTTCAATCAATTGTCTGACATACAATAAAAACAAATTAGGTACTTATTTTACTTTTACGCCGGGTCATTTTGTCCCGATAGTTCGGTAAACATAAGGTTTTTATTCAAAAGGGACAAGCAAAAATAACGACCTATAAATATTAATACATGTAGGCCAATTATTTCCCATGTCAATCCTAAGTGCTATTGAACATCTTCGTGTATTTCTGTATTAGAACAGCCTTAAAAAGCTTTATGGCTGCCTGGATTTTCATACTTGTATTTTATAGCAATCTACCAAAATTGTTTATTCCATTCATGGATTTTAAATGTGTTCTAACTCGATGATAAATCTGAATGATATGAGACAAATTGTTACTCCTGATATTTATTTCCAAATTAATATAGATCTTTTATTAGCACAATTCTTATTCACATACACAGCCCATACATGGAGAATGAGAGTTAATATTAAAATGATAAGGATTATTCTGTTAAACAAACTTCTCTATCACACGCAAAACCATAACAGAACATATTGAGACATTTTGATAACTTTATATAAAGCAATAGGAGAAAGTGCATCTATGTTTTCTAGCAAAATGATTAGTTTACCCACTGCAAAAGTTTGAGTGTTTTTCCAAGAACTTACCTTTATCACAGCTGCGCGTTATCCAACCTGGCTCACATTTATTTTCTTTACATATACCGTCAGCAGAACTACAACTTGTATTATTATAACAGTGACAAGTTGACGAACAATTATCACCAAACGTTCGATAACTGCATGCTAGAAACAAAAAAAAAAAAAGAAAGTGATTGCTTTTAAATTAAGTTAATTGTAACCAAATTCGAAAGATAAGTGAAATAGATTTATTTATTGCTTTAAAGCAGTACAGTACATCATCTAATAACAAACTCAAAATACAACAAGTTTCCATTATCTTTGACAATTACAAATAGTAATGATTAAATACCGTATTCTAAATTCATAACACTTATATAAATGTAAAGATAATAAATAAATATTGTTTAAACAAAATGCATAACGCTTCATAAATACAACACTGATTATATGCAATACCAATAAAGAATAAATAAAACTAATATGTTTTTGATCATAATAATATAATAATAACTGTACCCTCGCTACATGTTGGCAATGACCAGCCCGGATCACACGATCCTATGTCACAGTTTCCGCTAATGTGGTCGCAACCTGTTTTGTCTTTACAATGACACATCTGGTTACATCCTTCACCGAAGTGACCATGATCGCATGCTGTGGTTATTTAAAGATAAGATATATAAACTTAAACGATAGAATGAGAAAAAATGTAAGCTTTAGCTCTTTGAAGAACAAATGTATGTTTAAACTAATGATGGTAAAATTTGCTCATCTTTTTTCTTAAAAGAAAAATATATTTGTACCAAACAACAATTTAAGGTCAATTGTTAAATTTCAGCCGTATCGCATCAGCCATCAGGGCAATTTTATATACACCTGACACTTCGACCTAAGATGTTTATAGGTCTGCTTTATATAGCATATTCTTCTCCATCATAAAGATATTGACATAGAACACATAGAGGGTATTTTTGCTTTATGGTAAATATGCCATATTTTACAATGAGAAATGGAACACGTGCACGGACAAAAATAGCATCATTAGTTGTATACCCTTTTATGTTTTAATAAAGTTATTATTTGTCCAATAGTTTTAGAACCTTTCTGTTGAAAATGTGTCAGAGTTAAATCGTATACATATACATGCACAGTGCGTTATCTGGAGTGCAGGTATTAGTTACCCGCACTCCAGAACATGCCCATTGATTGGCTCATTTCTGCTGGGGTTTACCTATTGTGACATCAGAGTAAGGAATATCATATTCAGATGCTCTTGTTCATTGCTTCCTTTTTTCTGGGGTTTCATATTGTGACATCAGGGAACGTGTTTTTATGTTTGACTTTGATACAAAAGAGAAATAACATCAAACAAAACACTCGGCAATACGTACAAATCAGATACCCTCGTGTTTCGATGCTCTTTCTATTACTTGGAGAGAGAGAGAGAGATAAATCATACAACAATCGGTTGTAAGACATTCACGCTGGATAACTAACCGGTGATTACCTATTACCGCAGTACTAGATCAATGACAAAATGACTCAGTCGTTTTAAACCAGTGAAAATTTGGGGTAATGAATTAAATAAAACATGGGTTAGTGAGTAGTAGCAGAAATATCATCCAATCTTAAAAATCATGTTATCCTCGGTAACGATTCGGGTTACAGTTATTTTGTCGGATGATATTTCTACTGTTACCCAAAAACTAATATGTATTATTTATAGAAACAAAAACAACGTTTTATCCCATCGAAACTTCCAGAAAGTATATTTAAAAAAAAATCTTAAAGCAGCGCGCCTCTATATTCATGAAAATTTTGTAAATGTATCTAGAAGTAAAATATTGTCAGGTGAACAAATAAAGCAATTTACATATTGCAATTGGCACTTACAATCCAAGAAAATTACCAAAAAGTGGTCAACATATGCAAACACAGCCCTTAGTGCGTTAGTAACGCAATAGAAATATGGTGATAAAATACTGCAGTCAGTCTTAAACCGCACATAACATGTAAAATATAACTTGGATCTTGAATATCTCACAGACACTTGGGGTTGGGAGCTCAAAACGCCTTTAACATCCAAATAAAATACATATTTGTCAATCCCAACAAATGTACTGATCATATATATCAAAACAACTTAATATAAGCTGTTTTGAAAAAACTTCATATTTCAACATCTATAATAATACACAAGATAAAAATGTACGCCGGAAAATATCCGCTCCCCTACCGTCATAATCACCATGTATTTTATTCCATTTCCAATATTTTCACATAATCCTTTGGTCTATCGACACAGAAGATATAATTCTTCACGATGATGGTCAATTTTAAACTTCAACGGTAATATAAACAACGCAACAGCCGATATAAACATCAAGATTATCGCCGTGTTCCTCAATTTACAAAATCCTTCGATAAATTCATCTGGAGTCGTGCAGCTTGAATATACTCAGCTATGAAAGTGTTATTTGTTAGATAAAGTAACATTGATATCAAGCAGTGCAATTCTATATTTACATTATATAAATCATGAAGATGATACATACGTTCGCTGCAATTTGGTAGAAGCCATCCGGGGTCACATTGCTCAACAAAGCATGTTCCATTTGTATTATCGCATAAGGTACCATTTATACAGTTGCAAGTGTTATTGCATCGATTACCAAACTTTCGAACATCACAAACTGAAATCAGGTTTTTGAATGATGAATCTTGGTTTTAATATTATTATCAAAGATTTGCTATCAAATCTATGTGTATATGCAAGTGTTATTTTGTAATGAATGCTCAACCAACAATTAGAGCAGTGGGTGTTAAAGTTTTGGATTAAATGTGATAATATTAAAATGTTATTGTTATATAATATCATAACGCTCATAGAGATTACCACAATCAGTAAGAATCATAAATATGATTACTATTTTTGTTCAAACACACAGAACCTTCATTCAGTCTTGATGTGGCATCGTTTCAATGCCATATATGACCCTGAATTGTTTTCAGGTGTATAATTGTAATAATAGAATGCACTATTTAATAAAAGATATCTTAAGTGTATTATTATCTGCAAATGATTTAATTTATCCCGAACTTTATTCTTTGTGACATGTTCTATACTTGTGTGAATTTTCATATAAGATGTACAAACATTGTATTAATTTTAATTTTTAAAAACATTACGTATAACTGGTCTTAATTGAGTTGAGCATTTATTCTTACAATACAATTAATTTCGTTTAATAACGCAAGTTATCTTATAGCTTTACTTCTTGTGTTTTGGTTGGGTTTTACATTACATCAAAGTCATGCGACTGTTAGTTGTACTGGTGGAGTGCATTATTACAGGCACGAACGGGCAACATAGCAAAAACCAACGACGTTCCGTAAGCTAGCTGGATATCGTTCTCACATAAAACAAATCTTAAGTCCCTGTCGGGATGCGAACCCAAAAGGATAAGTGTCAAATGGTTTGAAGCCAACCACCTTTACCATTAGGCCACGGACTCCTGAGTATTATGTTACAGATACAGTCCCCTCCAAAAGTTTCCGGACATAGTTACAAATCATATAAAATGAAAGAAATATCAATGAAATAACAGCAAAGGAATATTTTATTTCTTTAATCTTCAACAATAACATCAAACATCGGCAAAAACAACACTTGTCAACTTCCTGATGCCATAAATGTCAATAGTTAGTCAATATTATCCAATTGTCCCCAAAACATCCTCATTCATAACATTACAGATTGTGCATCTTAATACTTGGTATGCCCTCCGTGGGCGGCTGTAAAAAGTCTCCCCGTACATTTAATCAATGATGTTATATTTTCGATCCTTGAAGATCGTTCAGCACGACATTATTGTTGTGCTTGTGGTATTTTTAGTTTCAACTTTTTGGCACTTTCTAGTTGGGTGGTTCCAATATTCCTACTTGAATAATGTTGAATCACCCTTAGGATATGTTGCCTGCTTTTTAAATTTGTCTTTTGACGTCCTATCTGTGATACGCAGGCTTCATAACCTCAGATCCCCTTTCAAAATTCCATTTTATTTAGTTCCGCCCATTGTTTTCTCGTTTAGGGCACACGCATTTTTTTACTTGGGGACCATATGCCGCTTGTCATGGAATGGCACTACCGTGTCACATTGAAGGTTCCATGATAACCGCCATATGAACACATCTGCGGATGTTTCAAAATTCTAAATTTTACCAGTTCATGTTAAATGTTGAATTCTGCTTAAGCCGGTGCTAGGGGGCGTGGACGGTAACTTGCACTTTCCAGTACCGTCCATGAACAGGCTCAATCAAACCGAGCCTGCAACATTTTCAATTTTGTCGTGTTGGGCTTTCTTTAGGGATTCTGTATTTATCTATTCAATGACAGCCTGTATTCTGTTAGGCATGCCTCTCACAAGCCGAGAGCACCTTTCTCTGGGTATGGCCTCCCATGATGCCACAACATTTGCCTCCAGTTCACCCATGTTGCGACTTAATTTGTTCTTAAGTCCACATTTGACATCCCACCACAAGTTTTCTATGGGATTGAGGTCTGGTGATTGTGGGGGCCATTGAATACACCTTATTCCATTGTTCTCCTTCCAGTCATGAACTATTCTCGCTCTATGACATGGCGCATTGTCATCCTGTAGCCAATAATTGTCCCCATATCCCAGGAGATGGGCTGATGGCACTGCAAAATTTTCCAGAATGTTCACATATCCTGTTCCATTTAACCGTCCATCAACTCTAGTAAGCATGCCTGTCCCCCTGTATGTCATGGCACCCCACACCATTACCCCACCACCTCCAAACTTCACAGTTGGGATCACACAATTATCCTTGAACTTTTCACCGGTACGCCTACGGATGTAAACACGGCCATCAGTTTGAAACATGTTAAATTTCGACTCATCTGTGAATAACACACATGACCAGTCTACCCAAGACCAGTGTTCATAACGTCTAGCAAACTCCAGACGCAGTTGGCGATGTCTGGCAGTTAAAAGAGGCTTCTTAACTGCTAAATGTCCATTGAGGCCAGCGGCACTAAGTCTGCGTCTCACGGTAGAATTTGAAGCATTCACTCCAGCTTCCTGCCAGACCAGCCTCAGGGCAGGAACTGTTAATTTTCGGTTCTGGAGGGAAGTTCGCACTAGTAGCCTGTCATTCCTCACGTTGGAGACCTTGGGGCGTCCAGATTTTGGTCTAGGGGCATGGGAACCGGTCTCTTGAAGACGTTGTAGGGTCTCGTAGACTGTTGACCTGAAATACAAAATTCATGAGAGTGTTAAAAAAGGGGAAATTCTCACTTTTGTTTGCCAGAAACAACAATGCAACACTAGCAGACACTTTAATTTAAGACAAAAACGTATACTAAAAACTTAGAATGACTTACCTTGACCTTCCAAGCTGGCGAGCAATCTCTGCAACAGGAACACCCTGATCCATCATGATCTCACAGCGTAATCTCTCCTCCAGTGACAGCATTCTTCTTTTTATCGTAGGTAATGACAACTGCTATCAAATGTTATTATACTCATAACATTTTAATTTTTTTCTGATTTTGGACTGTTTGTTCTGTACACTTCACTCTATGGTTAATTAAAATGTACCACAAACAAACACACGTGTTTAAAGGAAAACAATTTTTGGAGGGCACAAATGATGACTTTTGAAGACAAATAATGTTAATTTATTACCTCCCTTTATCACACCTTATTTAAAAGTACTTCTTTTGTTTCAAACTAATAAAATAAGTAAATTACCTAGAGTATTTCAATAAAAAAAGTTTGTACGGAAACTTTTGGAGGGGACTGTATGTTATCAAAATGAAAGTAATTGTTTTCGGAAAAAAACTAATCTTGCAAAAGTCATGTATAATATAACGTTTTTAGCTAAGAACTGATTATCCATTTTATTTGAGATGTGTACATAATAGAGTAGGTATCAAACAGGTTTTACTTGTCTAATGATCATGACTACAAAAACTATAAAATAGGGTTTTGCATCAGATATTAAGAAAAATGCAACAGTCTTAATTGAGCATGATAAATTATGCTACAAATATTCATTAAAGTAGTTCAAGTTACAAGGCGGCTGGTGTTGTGGGTTTTGAACAGGCTCAATCACACCGAGCCACCAACATTGTCAAGTATGCTGTTTTCGGCTTCTGTTTTATCTATTTTCTCAAACATATTGTTATTGGGCTTTTGGAAATATATTTTATACAACTCTTAAGCTGTACAATCAGTACTATCATTTAACATATATGTTATTTACCATTTTCACACGCCTCTCCTTGCCATCCTGCTAGACAACCCGGTGTCTGACATTTACCTGTTACTTGGTTACATGCACGCCTGTCTTTACAATGACATTCGTGCATACAAGCAGTTCCAAAATATCCGATTTCACATTCTGAAAAAGATTTAATATTTCGTTAAACACATTATATTTGTTTACTTATGTTGTTGATTCTGCTAAAAATGTGTACCTAATTATTAACTGATAGGCTGTGACAGTAGTCTATGTGGTTCAATTTCCATAAGGTTTGTTTATGAAATGTTAATACCTTAATGCCATGTATGATCCTAAAAATGTTTTAGTTGAAACGTTTTATCAAAGCTTCATCCGCATTCAGGAAAATAAAGTTGCAAAATTCACGAACTTGTAAAAGCAATTGGATAACAATTTCTTCCAGAATTGTTATCCATGCCATATTAACAATTATTGTATCAGTCAAAATGTGTATTTCATTATTTATAATCAGTGATTCCAATCAATTATTACATAAATTCACATTTGATCAATTAAAATATTACCTAATACTGCTCATTAGATAACAATGGTAACAATGAAAGTCCCAGTAAAATGGAAACATATCTAACCATTTTCTTTAACCAATAAAGAAATTATTCTTTCGAAATATGTTACCTTTCTCATATAAATTAATTTCACACAACGTCATCACTTTCTGTAACAACTGTACTAAAATGTATCGTGCAATTATTGGATTTTCTAGTTCCTTGGTAAAGTGTCGTTTGAATGTCATTTTTGGAACCATGTAAACATTTGTCATTTTAAATGATGGGTTAACTGTCGTTGAGTAATTGCCAGCGTAAACAATTGCATATTCCAACTGTTCGTTATTATCTGTAATTAGATAAGATGAAGTTTTTAATTGAGATTTAAAACGAAATGTGTTTGTATGCTTGTGTCAAATACATTAACTCTTATTTTCACAAAGATATGTACATTGTCAATTACAAACAGCTGTCTTGCATTTATATTATTTACATTTCTATAATGAATTACTTTTAAAATCATAAACTGTTCAAAATATTAGTTATCCCTGATTGTATTTTACCGTGACATAGCACTAACGTTTACATAAATAGCTTTACAGTTAAAGTTTTAAGAATTTCCTTACCTGATTCACGGCCAAATATCTGCAAACCACCTATTAAGTATTTCTGTTCAAGATCAATTTGCCACCATGAAGGAGAGGTTCCGTTTGTTACACTGCAACATTTACATGAATCTATTGAATAATTCTGTACCCCGTCTATTGCTTTACTGGAGTCGAAATCGTTCCATGGAGAAAATATACTAGACTGTCTTGTAGTAACATTTCCTCGTATATGCTCTATTAGATTTAAATCTGAAAAAAATAAATCATCAGAACTATAGAAAGAAATATTTAATTTCTAGCATGACTTAATATTTTGCATTATAACAAGACTTTATATGAAATATCAAGTACTATGCACTTTACATGGACTGGACACAGCAAATGATTTGTTCCCTGTAAAATAGACCAAAAGCATGTTTGGACAGAGTATTTAAAAGCATGCAATGTATTTATATATAATAAAAAGTATAGTATCAACAGTTAATTATTCTTCTAAAATGCAAATTTAAGTGTAGTTAGGTTTGAAAATGAATCAGATACAACCATACGATAAAACATTTGCATTTGAGAAAATTACCAATTTACTTTCAAAGCTGAGTTATTTGGACACGTTTATAAGGCGTGAATAACAATAACAATTAAACATAACAATTTATATCCCGAGTAACTTTCCATGATTTGTTCATTAAATTTTCTAAAATGTTTAAAAATAATTTATATATACAGACTGGAACCGACAATAATAAGAATATGGCACATTCATGTAGTCGCATAAAGCTCATAATTAATATAGCTCTTCAGTCGACACCTTACTACAATTGCCCTCATTCAAAAAAAGTTATGTACGTTGATAAGTCCCTTTTTGGCAGATAAAGCTCCCAATATAATGGCATGAAATTAATATTGTTGGACTATGTTAGTGTTCTCATATATAACACAAATATTAAGTCATTTTAGAATTGCACATTATCAACATAATATAAGCATCTATCTTCATATTCAGGGCATCTTCATCATCGTTATCAGTGCAATATTATAAGCATTATCTTCGTCATTATAAAGACATCAGCATCATTGTCATTATCATCACCAGCATATCTTTATCATCATTAATACGCCATTGTTATCATCATAATCAATATTATCATCAGTACCATCGACATTATTACCACTGTAATTTTAATTATCGCCTGTTATCATCATAATCGCCATCATTAGGTCATCACCTCATAATCATCATCAGTACAACTTCAACAATACTACATAATCATTATTAAAATCATTAATTCAAGATATTGAAAGGCATTTAAAAAGCAAGTAAAACTTGAAACTTGGGACCAAAATGTGTCATGGAATTTTATTTTAAAAAATGTCAAGTCATTCAGATTATTCAACGAATATCCAAGTACCATTAAAAATGCCCTGTATTATCAGTACCATCAGCAAAATACATATACTGTAGCGGAGGATAATTTTCTATTCATTTTAGAGACAGGGATACTGTGAGGATTGCTATCTTCCTACCAGATTTTACCATTACATTTAGTGGCTTTGTGGTCGAGTCTTCTTTAATGAATTAATTTGAATAAATTTAGTAGAAGTTTACTAGATAAGGTTTCATGTATGATTTCTCTAAAGACAGTTTTGATCATGTTAAAGTAATAATGAATTGATTTGGAGCTATATCCTTCGAGGTGAATCATCATTTTTTAAAAACGGTGCTTGGTTTTGCTTGTTTTTGACGGATTATTTCGTTCATACTTAAACGAAAGGTTAAAGCTCTCCGGAGAGCTATATTCGTCGAGAGCCATACGCGGCATAAAACAGCTTCTGAACGTTCGGTAACTTACTCATATTTCGATAATGAATTCATTATAATTGTGAATGAGCTGTTCCATAAGTAAAGCAGGGTTAACATAAATTCCATTAAAATTTGACGAAATGATATAAAAGTAATATTTCGATAATTAACGGAAGAAGAGAAGCATACAGAATTTATTATTTTGTAATTCAAGTCAATTTTCATATTCAATTCTTAAATATTAAAGTAGCCACTCAATATTTGTGTTTCCATTTTGAACATGTTTAATAATTTTGAGAATTATGTTCCATTAACAAAAACAAGATCAATACTGTTGATGATATTTTTATGACCACTACTTTGAAAGTTAAACTCTTATCTATTAACAAAATTAAATATTTATTTTAAACAAAATCATAAAGATTTGATTTAACATGCTAGGTTTTGTTATCGATAAAATACCGTATCTTTTTTATCTTACGAAGTTATAGATATTTCTAATAAACCATCCGTCCGAACTAACTGTTTCAAGTTCATACCATTGCTACAATTGAATCCTGACCATCCAAAGGCACATCCGGTACTGCAATTTCCGTCTGATTTGCGACAATCTTTTTCACCTTGACAATGACATTTACCGCTACAGTTTAAACCAAATTTGCCTTCTGGACAGTCTGCAAAAAGAAAATCATGTGCTTATGTAGATTATGTAGAACTGCTCTTTGTCCGTGAAGCGATATCGGATTGATATGAAACCACTTTTTTTATAAGATCATTATTCAAAGTTTTGAAATGATTAATTTTAGAAGTATTGCTAAAAGTATTTTAAAAATGAACCTAGAAAACATTTAGGCCCGGTGAATCCAGGATTACAGCCGTTGATACAATATCCTTTTGATTTGTTGCACGCAGCTTTACCGTTCTTACAGTGATCACTACAAGTTCCGGTACAATCTCGACCATACTGACCATCAGGACAAACTGTTGAAAAAGAAAATGACACTTTATTATAGCTCTGTTTAATTCAGATTAATTTTAGTACTTGACTCACTCAGTCAACTTCATATGGTATGAAGAAATGGAAATAAAATAATTGTTCATTTCAAAAACAAATTCCTTAAAGTGACTGGTGGTGTCTGTACACCAATAGCAATTAAATGTAGATTTTACATATAAAATCAGTGCATGTTTAATATATGTATTGAATGGAATTATATAATCCGTTTTATATATAATTATACTGATACATACGAGGGGTTATCCAAAAATTCGTGGACTTTGTTTGTTGCGTAAAATATATATTGACATATTAATTTGAAATTCTTACACTGCTTAGAAGAATTAATAACAAATAAACACAGAAAAATTCATGTGAGTAGCTTCTTACATTACAACAATATTTAATTTTACATGCACGCATGTCGGCGACAGCGGCGCACTCAAAAAGTTATTGACGTCAACGTCATAATATTAACGTACAACTTGTGCTTCAAAGTTACGCAGTCAATAACGGTTACTGCTTCTCAAAGTAATGTCCATCACTAAATTTTTAATGCCACTTCAACACTAATGATCGTGAAATTTCTTTTCTCTGTTCGTCTGCTGATTTTTATTTAATGTTTTTGTAGGTGTCATTTCCAAATTACAACAACAATTTATAATTGTTTATGATCGTGCGATTTTCTAATTACCGCGTGTCCGTCATTTTCCCGTTGTAAACAATAAAGGCGTCTGGCGTTTCCTGCGATATCAACAAAAAAAAACGGAAATGACGTCCATTATTTTAAAGAATTACTTAAATGACATCATAGAAGAAACATGCGATGTTCAGCGGGTTTTCTACGTTAATTTTTTATTTTTTTAGCAAGAAATATACGATGACTTACTGCGCTTTTCTACCGTGCGCCGGGTGCCGTGTATGTGCTTATTTAAAAGCAAAATAAAATCATTATTTCTTGACACAATTAACTGTTCCTTTCAAAATGTGTTGATAATATTCTACAATGTATGCTGATAAATTTTCATTTACAATACACGTTGGCGTTCAAGAGATATTTAAAAAGTCCACGGATTTTTGGATAACCCCTCGTATGTCAATGGTCAGTTTTTGTAAATGTAAAGTAAAACAGTCGACCCATTTATAAAATCTATGTATCATAATATTAAATACAGTACTATTTGTGGCAAAAAAAAAAGAACATCTGGTAATATTTTGAAGCTTTAAAATGATACATGGTATTTGCCTATTTATGCATTAAGTATTTAATATGTATTTATTTTCACCATGCTTTTTTATGTTGTGAATTGGACAGTCAATTGAAAAACAAAAGATTGAAGCATGAAGGTATGGATTGTGTCAAAAGTTGCATTAATCGTGTTAATTAAATACTTTTATTTTTTCATTTTAATGCAGTTTTCTTTGTAACAAATTAATAAAAAACAAAATACCTGTCGAACAATTTTTCCCCATATACCCTGCTTCACAACCTTCATTGCATACACCTGATGATTTGTCACATTGTTCGATTCCTTTGAAGCAATGGATACTGCAGTACGAACTACAATGTACACCAAATCGTCCCGTCTTACACGCTGTAAATGTCAACAAGATTGCATTTTTGAAAAATGCTATGCCGCCACATTAACACAACAATAAATAGTAGTGTAGGAACAGATTTTCTTTTGTTTCTATACAATTAAAGATTTCATAATGCTTATACCCCTAACCTATCTTATTCTTATTATCAAACAAGTGAATTAACATATTGTTATTCAAATAAAAGATGAGAGTAGGAATCTTTCAATGCAGTTGAGTCTAGTGAATTTGGTGGTGAAGGTCATATTTCACATGGCCTAAATTTCAAGACTGCAAATCAAAGGACAACCCAATTAGACACTTTTTCAAAATCTAGGTCAGTTGATATCAAAGTTTACTTTACATCCTAATACATGCACATGGTTCAAATTTCATAGATGTACTTATTAGGACAATAAAGTAGTTCACATTATCAAAATCTAAGTCACCTGATTTCAAAGTTCAATTTTACACTTAAAAATGTGCACATGGTCCAAATTTCATAGCTGTACATCAAAGGTCAAGAAAGTAGGTCACGTCCCCTTGGGCAAGGCAAAATTTTGATTTTTTAAGTTTCACTTTAAACTTATAAGGAAAATCTATGACCACCATGGCGGGGCTTATTTCGACACTTAAGGCAAAATTTAAACAACTTTGGTAGAGTACCTACAGATGATATATTATACTAATAATCAAAGCTCTAAGACTTGTTCCTTCAGACAAAAAGGTTGTTTTTTTTATATTTTACTATATGTACATAGTGAAAATCAATGACCCCCGGGGAGGGGCCAATTTTAACCCACTGCTAAAACGTTCAATACACAATGTTTCATGCAGATATCAACCTCTAGCATTTGTCAATTTCGAGAGGACGATTTTTTAAATTTTTACTTTATACATATTAAGAAAACCTATTACTCCCGGGGCGGGGCATATTTTGACACTAGAGGCCAGATTTGAACAACTTTTGTAAAGTACTATAGATGATATCATATACCAGATATCAAAGCTCTAACCCTTGTACCTTCAGTCAAGAAGGTTTGTTAAGTTTTTACTATATGTACAAATAGTGAAAATCAATGACCCCTTGGGCCGGGCCAATTTTGACCCCAGGGCTATAATTGGTAGAGGTCTTGGTAGAGGTCTACTAGACAATGCCATATGCAAAATATAATGTCTTTACAAAAATATTTTTTTAATTTATTCTTTTAATTCATTTTGGTTGCCTTGGAAATAGTCTTTTGCTATTTTTTAAACCATCCACACATTTTTATGTAAATTTTTTGCCTCATTTGAAAAGATACTTCTTTTAGAAATATTGTATTTTAAAAAACGAGAATAAAGATAAACAAGGCAAAGCCCCCGACACACCCCAGCAGGGCACTCATAAGGCGCCAAACCAACACGGGGAATGGACATCAGGGCGGTGAAAGGAGAAGAAAATTAAAGTGTGAAATAATAAAAAGTAAAACGGGCCAATATCGGAATTAAAGGGTTAAGCCATTACCAGATATACACGCCTTTTAACGCCTGTTTACCCTCCTCCTTTTTTGTTGTCTCAAATGGTTAAAAATGCCTTATTTAGGTCCCCAAAACTTATTTTTGTTAGAGAAATGTTGTTGAAAAAAGGGACCACTTTTTCGGCGCCGACCCCTATCCAAAAGATACATTAGGTGGTTGCCAGAATGGTGATGTACACCCCTCCCCACTTCTGATTGGAGATTTAAAGAGGCGGCAGCCCCCCTCATCGCTAAGAAAATTTTGGAATGGTAAGAGGCTAAAAATGACCCAAGGTCAATTATAAGGTAACGTGTAACCAACGTTGAAAAGCCTTTGACTCTGTATTAATCCATTGAGAAGTTGCAGCACTTCGAAATCAATTTTGATGGGTAAACTCAAAGCAAAATAGTGATTTTGGCAAAAATTTGAGATGTTCTCTCGTTGCCATGATAACAGGAAATTTAAGACTGAGCATGTTGTTACAAAGCCAATGGTTCAGTCAATATTATTGCCAAGTTTGAATAGTTATGAAGCAGTTTTTATAGTAATTTGAACTTGTAACGGGCGACTTTTCAATGAAAACAGCTATTTGTCACAAAATGTTCATGCAGTAATTGGTTAAGGGCTAGTAGGGTGGTAAATGGGAGGGGGATGTGAGAAAATATCTACCATCAACGACAATCCAACAAGGCAGACAACACAAAACATGCACATTACTCATTAACTCTTTCTACGCCTACTTTTGTCGATGGGGTAAGCCTAGTAATGGGCCAAATGTACTAAATGGATTAACCTAAAAAAGACGCCTAACGAAAGTTATGTTTTTTGACTTTTTAGCGTATGAATGGCTGATAGGTCTTCAATAAGACAATGATTTGTAAAAAATATAGGTAAAATCGAAAAATTATAGACTTGTTAAAATCTCAAAACCGTTTCATTTTCAGAAAGACAACTCATGGTTAATATGTGTAATGTGTAGAAAATACTCTTGTAGCTTTTGAAGGCTTTATATGCAGTACTTAAAGTAATTAAAATGATGTTTACTTGATCAGTGTCTTTCAAAAGATCCTAACGATAAAGATCCTAACGATAAAGATACCAAAACAGAGTAATGATACATATTCTCATCAGTATTGAAAAGCTTGATATAAGTTCCAAAAAAAAAAAAAAACGCGTTCAACAGACTACTCCTTTTTCATTAGGTTCGAAAGAAAATGCGTCATGTATTTATGTGACGTAATGTTATGGTGAAGGGGTAACCTAAGTAGTAATGGTTTATTTTAAAATCGTCTTAACTCGGCAGGGGAGAGTAATAAAATTATCTTTTTAGTTTTGGAGTGATATATGTGGATATATTACCTGACAAGATAAAATATCACACTCGCCTAACGGGTCGGGTGATATAAAATCTTGACAGGTAATATATTCACATATATCACTCCAAAACAAAAATAACATATAATACTTACGAGTCGAACAGTTAAGTCCTTGAAATCCAGACACGCAGCCACTCTGACATTCTCCAGAAATTGTGCTACACTGATCAAAACCTTGTAGACAGTTGCTGGTGCACGTTCTGCTACAATCACGACCAAATTGACCAGCTGTACATTCTATTTTTCGACAAAAACATATTTTTCAATAATACTTTGTGAGATTTACATATCAATTGAAAACGATTAAAATAAAATATGAAAAACAAGATCAACAAGGAAAGGCGGCGTTCAATGAACGCAACCCCCACATGACCCAGCAACAAGAACCAATGGCAAGGAGCCCAGGCGGACCCCAAACACAAAAAGGACAGGGCAACGACACGTTAATCATTAAATGATAAATAATTTGTAACTGACTAGGAACCCAAAGAAAATAATAATAGGCCCACAAAGGGGAAGGGGACAGGAGACCGGGGGAAGGGGGGGGGGGCACAATCAAAGAAACAAAAACTAGAGGCAATGGGGAAGATACTTACCGTAGACGAGAAAACAACAAGGGACACAAGCAAAAGTGTCACCAAAACAGTATGAAACAACATAGACATACATCTGAGGAACACAGTGGGGCGCCGCCTTGGAACGGTCAGCAGCATAATAATGACTGCTGAGAGGTTTAAACCGGTTAATGGTGCACCAAACCTCGCTCTTAGCCCCACCATGTTCCTATAAACGAGACAGTGTAAATAAAACGAATCCCCGCCAAGTGAAATTCTAACAACAACGAAACATCTTGACCAGAAGAGACCTCTCTTAAGCGACGATAACATCAATATTATCTGACAATCATAATTATATTCTGTTCTTAAAATGTAATGTTAAAACATCTTTTATCTCTAACACACAACAGGCATAATCTCGGGCAAGAAGTCAGCAGCCTACACGCCGTATAAGATGCAACCTGTACATTTTGTGGACTGGCGGCGGCATAATGTAACGCTTTGGAAATGTGTACTATTGGGTTGTCTAATTATTGTAAGATAAACTATAAAATTCATAGCCCAATGAAAAAACATTGTGCTGTTTATTTAACATTTCGTATTCTTTATTTGTTTGACCATTTTGAAACATTCATTATGTATATAAGTCACTTCTCCAAAAATTAGTAGGCCGCGGTATGATATACGATGTTCCGTTAGGGCCATCGAGACAAGCGTAAATCTCGAACCGACGAACACATAAGATTTAGTTGGTAAAAAATCAAAGTAACGTAACCCCGATTATGGTGAAAAATTCAAGGTTTCGGTAGTTTGATTTTAAAAAGCCGAAATGACCAAACGCCGAAGGTGTAAACTTGTTGTACTTTCAACTTTTCGTCATGCATGCGTTATAAAACTCATATTTGCCCTTTCTAAAGGAGAAAATTTATTCTTTTTTGTATTCAGGTGAAGGTAATACACTTCAATAAAATATCACCAAATGTAGGCTATTTCTAAAAATTAATATTTTTTTCAATATATGCAAATGTAAATTTAAATAACAAAGGTTGTTTTTTCCGCTAATGTGTCCGCTAACTCGTATTCAGCGCCAGTCCTGATAGCACAACAGTAACTTGAACAAAATGGGTGGTACAAGTTAAGTTTTATATATCTTTCATCGAATTTGTCCTCTTATTTTCGAATTATTTCCATTTTATTTATTACAAAAACACGTTTTTTGTGTTTGATTTTATCGAACACATAGAAAACACCGGTTCACGATGTAAACAAAGGTTGTTAATCTAAAAAGTATCATAAAACGATATGATTACGAAATTTCATTTCTTCATTATAAAGTTTTTCCAAAAGCATATGCGCTATTTTCGATGCTTTGAATCAATACAAGTCGTGTCAATTTCAATAAAAGATTTAGGCCGAAAGTTCGGGTTTGATATGAAAATGTACAAATTAATACGCACGTATGTTTGAACAACGCGTAAGCCAGTTTATCATATTCCAAGAACGTGTTTTGCTAAACACTTGACACATGATGAATCGATCAGGAAAATAAATGCATATGCTGATTAGAATAATATTAAATTTTCAGGCATGTTGGCTTGGTTTCGACAACAGTAAACTTCGTGATTTAAAAAAAAAGAGTAAGTGTTCAGAAAATAACCGATTTCAAATTACCGAACTTCCCCCCCCCCCTCCCCTTTTTAAGTTTGATACATTTCATTTGGTTGTTAAAGATCAATGGCCAATGAAAATAAAACATGATTTAGAAAGTCGTTTATTTTCTGTAACTCAATCAGTAATTTCCGCCGTCATTTTCACCGATGACTTAGGAATATACCTACCTTATTTTGTTGACTTTTGAAAGACTTTATATCAGTTATACTCATGTGTAAATATTTCTCGTTTATACATCAACATTTCTATTGTTTTGTTTCATTTAGCGTGTTTTCAAGTTTTTGTTAGAAACGAATGATGTAAAAGTTTCAGATTTTCTTTAGATATTAAAGGGCATAACTGAACACGATTTTCAATAAATGCCGCCGTCTTTTAATAAAAAAAGACAGTTTCGGAAGGTAAAAAAATGATTTTGTCGGTGACTGTTGTTCAAACACAATCATAATGGTGAACTACAAATGGATCACCCTCAGCAAATGTTTTCCGTAATACGTACGTAAATGCAAATCATATAACGAAAACAATATCGTTATCATGAACTTACAATAATTTACATAGGGATATTTGTACACCACTTCCGATTTGAGATCACACCAAATACGAAGGTAATTACCATTAATGTATTGCGTACATACCCTTTGAACAGTTGTTACCCATATATCCGGCTTCACATCCTTGCATGCAGTTTCCAGTAGTTTTATTGCATTGAGTTACGTCGTTTAAACAATGAGAACTACAAACTGACGAGCAGTTCAGGCCATAGTTTCCAAGATCACATTCTGTAACAAGTGGCATTGTGTAGTATTGTGATATTTTCTTAATAAATAACTAGAAATTAACTAGAAAAAAACGAAAGATGATGTTTTAAGATAATGTGAAATTTTCCTGATTTCAAGTACTTTTTTTCCAAGTTTGTTGCATACTATATTATAACAGCACAAGATCGTTACTATTATCGATCGTCCAGATGTAGGATCTATCAGCTGTCTTTCAGTCTGTCAGTCCGTCTATCTATGTGTCGCCACCTTCACAACATTCGTGTCCGGACTTTGTCCTACTTTGAAGTAGTATAAATTTTCTTTGTACAAATGTCTACCATATCATGATAATGTATCGCGTCTAAGACTCATGTCCCTACCTCAAAGGTCAAGGTCACACAGTCTGAAGGTCCACATTCTCACAATTAGAGTTTAAAACTTT